CCAGGATAATGGTTTCAATACTAATTTGTGTTTTTTAGGTTCAGAATTTATACTCACTAATGTGGATTTAAATTGAATTGAACCACTTGCCATAACACACAAATTCTATGAATGAGGTTACTCAAAAGAAAAAGACGTCCATACGTTTCTAGGTAATCTTAGAAGATTATTAGGAATCAGTCATTCCCCAGATATTTTATTGCCAAAGTTTTGAGCAAGGTCGATTAGCTTTTTCTGTCAAAGTCTTTCCATCTTTTCTATTTTTCATGGAAGTTCTTTGACAGTTGACACACACATTACTTCGAAGAGATACGCACTGAATCGGAAGTACGCCTACGTAAATTGTATAGCCGTTGACGAAAAATCAGTCGACACTATGATTGACTTAATGGTGAGCTACTCATCAAGATTTACATACATATATTTGTCAACATATGCATATACATATAACATATGCTTATTTCCATCCCAGGTTAGGGTTGAGCCCCCAAGAGGGCGGGGGGATCACACTTAGACTGCCAAGTACAGTTTTTTGTAAAGCTGGATAAAAACTCTTGCATTTGGATACTAATTCTCGACAAAACGCCTATCACAAATCTATATCTTATTTCTATTTCCGCTATCCCAGCCTTGATTTGGCGGAACATTCGAGAAGAAAGTTTTGAGATGGTCCATGCGGTTGCGCAGTTGCTAGTTTCTGATCAGCGCTTGCCGAACTCACCTAAGACCCATCCATACAGTATGGAATCACAAGAAGCCAGTGAAGCACCTACGCTTTTCCTGTAATTCCGTTATGTGCAGGTACCTAAACTAGTCTAATTACGACGTAACTCCAAGGTAGAGATGATGGTGGCGAGAGATCTCTTCACTAGTCTCGAGCATATGGTCATCGAGCTCAAGGTTAGTATCGTCGCCCAACTATCGGTGTGGATGGTCACTACTCTGAAAGAAGAAGCGCTCCTGAGCATTAGACCTTCTGCTACCTTAATGGCAGTAATGGTAGCCAGTTTAGGATGAAATACTATTAACGAACAGACGACACCTACCAGCCAATCAGGTTGAAAAGGTCTTATAGTGTCTTGTCATTAAATTTATTTCTCCGGAGGAAAAGGATACAGAGGTGTTTCATCCATTTTCTTTTTGGCTTAAAATCATCACCTTCATTCAACATGATATATGGAATCTGTTCGAAAGCTGAAAATCTTAATGCACTTGTCGTCGGATGATCTAACTACAAATTATGTGGCTTCAATTATGGTGGCGAGCTCTTATAGAAACGATGTCAACTTCAGCCTGGCTGCTATTTTTGCTGAAATCTCGGCTGTTCTACAAGGACAAAGGGCTCAATTCGTTGGCTGTCACCTGATTGATATAAAATATATATAAAAAAATAGCACATCTTGTGTTTTTCCAAAACATACGTATATCACAATTGAGGTTTATATTCCAAAAGGAAAATTATAAATTTGAATTCACTGTAGATTTTTAGATAGTAAAAGGGTGTACATTTTCATGCAAGAGAGAGAGTACCTCATTCCCTAATTAATTTAAGCACTTACACCCAAATGCATTTTTGTAATTCCAATTTTCAATCAACACTTCACGTAAATGCCTAAACATGAAGGAATATCCCACGACACACCTTCCCACACCAAAAAAAACAAAAGCAATGCTCTGAAGCACCTGGTCGCTAACACGCCTGCCCCAAAAAGGGTTACATTTATTATCTGTGCTGATGGGTGTCACGGTATGCGCTACTTTTCTTTCACACCAACTCCCCTCGTTGGCGATATCTGTGCGTAGCATCTTTGAAATATTCTTGATACACGCACGATTTTCTGGCTCTCTAAAGGAGACAGGCATATGTGGTAGTAACCAAAAACATTTACTTACACACGTAAAGGCAGATGGGCGGGTCACACTAACAACACGTTTACTGAGCATGCTTTTAGACGTTGGAACACATACATATGTATGAGTTCAGTTTCTTCGCTTCGACATTGGGTGTTTAAAAAATTATTTACTTTTCATTTCACTTAAATCGCTTGATATTTTCTGATATCATTGCGTATCAGCATAGAGTGCTTGTGTATGTGTGCGGTTTTGGGTCGTTGATGAGTCGGCAACTTCATTGCCCTGCGGCGTACAAAGGCCTGACTTGTTAAGTTCGAACAGCTGTTGGCGCGCTGCGATGGCTCACTTAGCCCCGTCAACTGTTCGCTTTAAATTCAAATGTCGCAAATTTCCTATTTCGCTTGGATTAAAGTTTTCGTGCACGTTTTGCGCTGCCGCTTTTCGCTTGCGCTCCATTTCACTCACTCATTCCCTCGCTCGCTTATTCGTTTTCATTTGCATTTGAATTTGGGCTTGAATTTGTTTGTTTTCGTCGGTTTTGGGTTTGTTGTCAGGCCCATTTCTATTGTGCGCTCATGCCACTCGTTGGTTTCCGCTCATTCGTGTTTGTCGAACCTCTTTGCTAGCCTGCCGGTTAAATGGCCCAGCACTTGAGTGTCTGTCCACTGTGAGTGTGAGCGTGAAAGAATTTAAAGTGTTTTAGGTGTCAAGCGTGGAACGCTAGTGGGGTGTGCGAAACATAAGTACAAAATGTGGATAAAGTGACTGTGGAGTTTTTAAATTGTAAATGTAAATTTTCTTCACCAATATTTGGCCAATTGTATATTTATACCCTGAAGTTTATAATACGCAGAAGGAAACGTCGGAGATCGGACAAGCTGAGTCGATTTAGCTGTGTGCGTCTATCCGTCCGTCTATCTGAGTATATATATATACGCAAACAAGTCCCTCAGTTTTTGAGAAATCGATCTGAAACTCGGCATGGATTATTGCGCAAGGCAACACCACAAACTCCAGTTAAATTGTTTAGATCGGCTCATTATAGCATATAGCTGCCAGTCAAACTGATTTCTCAAAATCCAGTCCTTGTATGGTAAACGAATATTCACCGCAAAACCACTTCACAGAACCTTTTTAAGCATTTGATATCACCTTTCAGAAGAAGAGTAGCTTTTATCACTACGACCCATATCTCATAACAAAGCACAAAATCTAAATGTTTCTTTGTTGCAACATGTGCATCCATATTCAGCTACTCATAACTAATTCTCGTGCCAAGAAAGCAATTCTCCACTTGTAGCCACTTTGTATGACTTCGGCATAAATTTCACACAAAATGGCAAATGTTCTGCTTAGCTGGATTTGGTGAAAGTTAAATGCACATTGCATTTTGCATTTTAATACTCTCATTTTTTAATTTGCATGCATATGAATTTTTTTCGCAGACGTGTGAGCAGGTTTGAGTGTGTGTGTGTCGGCCGGTTGCATTTCGGTTTGTATAAAAATGAAATGCGCCGTAAAATAATATGTGTCAGCATTAAAATGCAGCGCGTACAACGCAAAATGCCAGAAAAGGAACATGCGGATTTTGCATGAGCAGTTCGCTGGGCAAACACGACATACATACAAACGTGTTCGATGTAGCGGGTGTAAGGCAGATGGCATAGTGATGAGTTTTTGAAGTCCAAGTTTATAAAAACTTGCACTCGGAACAGATGGCGCTGATGTGAAATATTAAAATATGCTGCCATTTAATGTGTGTGTGTGTGAGTGATCTATGCATCTTATCTCAAGGAAGATGAGGCTTATTACAAGAAGTAAACTAAATTCTCTAAACTAAATTAATCAGCCTCTCTATTCCAGGGTAGATACATCAATAGGACAATAGTGCAAAGGTGGATAAGGTAGTTTAAAATGTGGCGTGAGTGATCAAAACTGATCCGGACTTCCAAAAAAATATTTTCCCGGATATTAATTTTTTTGATCGCCTTCAAAATAAGCTCCAATTCGACGTCATATTTATAAACCCACATCTCGTCATCAGTAATTTTGCGTTAGCTGAATGAATAGCAACTCTCTCCGACCTCTACTTGGCAATGTGTTTCCAAAAGATTCAGGTCTTTTGGTAGGACTCTAGCATTGATACGTTTTATAACCAAAATATGTTGAGTTGATCCACAAGAGATGCTAAGATCCTCTGTTATCTTACTGATGCCAACACGCTGATTCTAAAGCAATGCTTCCTCAACTTTTCCGATGTTATCACTCGCATGAGTCAAGTTTTCGAAGGCTTTACGACCTTCACTAATTGTTTTGTGCGGCTCCAATGCTTGTATTCGTGATAAAGTAGACTTGCCACAACATTTTTGCATTATTTTCAACGATTCCGTAGCCGGAATTCTATTAGAAACACAAAATTTTGAGCAAAGTCGTTGTTCAATTTTTTTTTCATGTTAAAAATCGCCAGGATAGCTTTTCGCGTCGTAAGCAAAATGGTTTCAAACACAGGTTAATTGACATATGGGAATCAAACACCACACGAACATATAAAAGGTGGTACCAATCTAGCAACATTTTTTTATCGATTCTGTTCAGCATGCAGTTAATCAGGACTTTTAATGGCGCCAAAAAATCATGAGTTAAAGAAGAAGGATTGGTCAAAATTGTGCACTTCAGTGCTCAAAAATCTACTGAAGTAAGCAATTGGGAGCGTGTTTTGCCGTCGTCCAAATAATTTCGGAAATTGCGTAGTCTCCTTCAGCAGAGTGTATTTACATCGATTTTATGCAAAAATATTCACAGTTTCTGCAAATTTGTAATTACTCATAAATCAAATAAATTAGACGCCACTTCAAAGAAAACATAATTATTATTTCTGGTATAAGTTGCCATTACATATATATATGCACACACTTATACGTATATAAAAAAATATGCATATTAATCTCGGTGTTCGTTACCAGGAATTCGCTGTTAATTAACCTACGGTCGAAAGGCTACCGGTTAAACAGCAAATGTTCACTTTAATTAAGCTGTGTCAACAGCAAATGCAAATTAATACTAATATACATCCAAAAAAAAAACAACAACAATAATATTGAAAAGCGTGATAATAATCGCTGAAAGGAAAAAGGATTTATAAATTTGCATGCCTGATTGTGCCAAAGTGTTTTTATTATGGTTGTTTTTGTAGTTGGTAATGTTTAAGTGCGCTTAAATTATGGGCGTGTGGAATGATCTTGCCAGGCCGTAACTTTTTATTTGATTATTTCCGGCGTTACAACTAATGTGTGTAAAAAAATATAATACCATATTCGATGACACATACATATATGTACCATATATGTGTGTCCAACAATTTGCAACAAATATTTTTTCGAATCGTGTTCATCCTTTTCTACTCACTGACACCGTGATACGATACAAAAGTTTCTAATAGCCATTTCGGAGGAAAAATTCCATGTTATAACATCGATTAAAGCATTCTTTAAGTAATTTTTACAAATAATTAAAAAGATGAAATTAAAAAAGAACAAACAAAGAAAAACAAAGAAACAAAAGAAGGAGGCTATACTAACCTTTACAGGTGCTATATCATAAACAGGTATAAAAAGGTCTTTATCTTGATTTTGATCGGTCAGTTTATATGACCGCTATCTGCTATACAAGTAGTTGTAGTTGTTCGATTTCAGCGATTCCAATTAATAAGCAGTTTCTTGGCGAGAAAAGAATATGTGCAAAATTTCAGATCGATATCTCAAAAACTGTGTTAAGGCATAAATATCTGAAAATATAATTTTGCAATAAAAAGTGTTTCCTACATACGACATATATACCATGACCTACCATAAAAGTCTGGTAATATACATTATCAGGTTTTAAACTTGAATTCAAATTTTCTTAAAAAATTAATTTTTAAAATTTTTCTTCATATTATATTATTTATTGTAGAAATTTGTTGTTGGTGGTAATACTAGTTGCTTTTCATATAAATCTATTTTTCCTTCTCACAAAATTATTTTCAGAAAGTTTTTCCAAAATATGGTAAAATTGGGCTGGGGGCCATTAAAGGGTTAAAATGCTCCAGAAGTATATTTATTGGAAATCTGCACTATTCAGGGGCTTATAGTACTATGTAAAGAGGCTTGCACTTTTAAAATGCGAATTATTTCGTTTACTGGGTGAATGCCAAACTCCATTGCTTAAGCCAGCACACCAGTATTGCATCAGAGCACCTTGAATCCTTTCGAAAATTGCATCTAAATGCAACTAATAGAGCTGCAAGCAAATTGAAAATGCAAAACAAAAGAAAGGAAAAAAGTTATGCATGTAAGTGAGAATGCATAAACTAGCAAAGAAAAATTTCTGCTAAAAACAAAAACAAAAGCAAAGAATTGCACAACCCACACACTCAGCTCGTGCAGTCACATTAATTATTCACTCAGTAACCTTTGAAATGTAACAGTGTTATATAACTGTAAGTGGATGTTGACGCTGCAGGAGAACGGCGGGGAGGGGAGGCGTGAGAGTTAAACAAATGGCGCAAAATGAATGCGTCAATGCAGCAATGAAATAAAAAGAAACTAACACAAACACATACACATGCAAGTATATTTGTGCTCGTCTGCCTACCACTACATAAGTATAATATATGGGTGGAGGTTGGCTCATGAGTGCTCAAATAAACGGATATGGATAAGCTTATGCGAGCTGAAAGGACAAAAGGTGACAACTGCTGCTATTACCTCTGAAGTGCAAGTATGTGTGTGTGTATGTGTGCGTGTAAGTATCATTGACGTGGACTACTGCCGCTTGGTTGGCTCACATCTACACCTGCGCTTGTATGCCAAGGTTTCTTGCACGTAAACTAAGCAAACTGAAGCCCTAATGCAGCAGGGTCAGTTAGAGTTAATGCTGCTTTGGGAGCAAATTTTTTTTCTGGGCTTCTTATGAAACTTTGTGAAAGAATATGTGTAATTTTTCGCTTCAATGTAACTTTTTGCATGTGATTACGTTACCGGAGCGGCTCTTGCCTTGTTCTCAAAAAGAGAAGAGAGAGTGCTCTCAAGTTGAACTTGACTGGCGCTTGCTTACCTGTTTACCTGGAAAATGAGGACGAACCTTAAAACTTAACTTAAACTTAATAAATGTGTTGTTGCTTGGCAAGTTTATATGAAGCAAAAGCACGTACACCCAATATACTGCGGTTTATAGCCTTTATTAGTCACATTTTTGTGAAAATATTCAAGCTGCTGCTGACTGAAATAATTTTTATGGAAATGAGTGAAGTTTTGCTTTGAAAGCACTGTGTATGATTGCTAGTGGAGATATATGAATGGCAGTTGCTCTATTAGATTTCAGATCATACATCAGGGCCAGTCTAGAGTACTCAACAAAGGTCTAACTTTCATAATTTGTTCTAAGATTAAGAAAAAAGGTATTGAATTATCTTTATTGAACATTTATATTCATATTTTGATAGAAAATAGTGGCAATTGGGCCAATCTTCAGAATCAACTTTTCAAAGAGGGCCTCTACAGACGACGGAGATTACAGGAACTCGTTAACTTCGGCTACACCGAAACTATAATACGTTTCACATGTTCATTTTTTATAGCATAAAAAGATATAAAAATATCATTATACTGATTTTGATTAAAGGGTTTATATGGCAACTTTATGCCTTAGTGGTCCGAATTTAATAATTTTTTTGAAATATTGTTGCGCTGCTTTTGATAATAATTCCTGCCAAATTTCGGGAAGATACCTTGTCAAATAAAAAAGTATTTCAGTTCAGTTTGTATGGCAGCTGTATGCTATAGTTGTCAGATATCAGCGGTTCCAATGAATGAGCAGCTTCTTGGGAAGAAAAGGACGTGTACATAATTTCAGAACGATATCTCAAAAACTGAGGGAATACTTCGCGTATGTACAGTTCGACAAACATGACATATCGACTCAGCTCGTCAGGTTGAATTTTTGCGACTATCGTGATAAACTGAATATACTCTGTTTAGGGTTGAAAATGTAGCATTATCAAAGAAAAATGGTTTTGATCTGAGCCGAAGCCTCAAACAATCCATACCCGGTGGAAATCTAATATTATTATAGCGCGCTTTTATCCACACATCAGTAGTATTAGAAAGTAAGACAGAGTTAACTTAAAATATATGCGCCCTTCCCCTATAAATCTTTGCCAGTTGTACCAGATGCCTTTTTACGTGGATGTGCGTACACCAACAGCTGTCGATTACCATACAAGTCGCTTTATTGTTTACTGACTTGAATATACAAGTAGTTTTGTTTTTGTATGTTCATTTTTAATTAGCATTTTGCGTCGTTGTTTTTAATTGTTGGGCTCCTATGTGTTGTCTGTCTTTATTGTCAGCCCTTCTCATACACAGGCATATGTATACATATGGCATAAACATTTGAAACGATTTAATGCGCTAAAATGTTACGTATACGCCCCGGTAATGGCTTAGACGCTTGACTAAAGCGGATTTTCATTACATCGCGCTGGCAAAGATACAAAATTCACTTAAACACATATTCACTGAAACACATATGGCATGAGATTTAGTCTATAGTTGTATATAATGCTTGAAACGATAATTCAGCCCTCACAGGTTTTATGTTCATCCACTCATTCATTGCGCTGCTAACACTTCTTCATCACCTTTGTATTGCTCTTAGTCGTTTTTAGTTTCAATTACCGTCAGTGCCATGGTCAATGTTGCTGTCGCGCGCACAGCACTACAATGTGCTTTATTCACTCCCCTCTCCCGCCTTCCCCTTTCAGCTTATTATTTTTATTTTCTGCAGCTGACATTTTTGTTGCCGTAAGGATTATTGGCGGTGCAAGCAGGCACCAGCAGTTGGCATCTGCCTCCAGTTCGTGGGTCTGTCTTTGCTTCGCTTCTTCAGCTTCTTCTTCTTCGAGTGGCTTAAAGGTCGCCACATGCGGGTGCGAGGCTGACAAAGTCCATTCGGTGGTCTCGTCAGCAGTTGTTGCTTACCGTTAGGCAAATACTCTCCCATAATGTAGACGTCGATTAGGAAATTGGAAATTGGTTTTAGTGTTTGCCGCTTTTTTGCACTTCTTTTTTCATTTTGTTTTTAGACACTTTCTTTCGGAATTTCGCTCCGGTTAATACTTTTGTTTCTCGGTGCGTGTATATGTAAATCGCACACAATTCAGTCAAAATAAAAACAAAAACAGCAACCCATACTTGGCGATTGCTGCAAATTAATATTGAACGACCTTTGACGCCTGCAGTCTAACGCTGAAACCTCAACTCACGCTTTCATACGTTTACACACATGCACATACAATATGTCCGCAATAGGATATGCTGATAATCAAATGGAATTGCTGTGGATAGCAAAGTGAAAGAGGTGCTGGCTAGTGGTAGTGTAATATACTTAGCTAGCTCAATCCGCTTATCGTTGTGAATGCATGCCAGTAAATTTCCATGTACTTATTTACGTCTCTTTTTTATTTCCTTCTCGCTCAACAATTACTTAATATTGTGGTGGGGAAAATTTCGTGTGGGATACACTGCTGAAAAGTGAGGGGAGATTGCTTCTTTAATTTTTAGAAAAATTAAATTTTAATAACATTATAATTAATAAAAAAATAAAATGTTTAAATTTTAGTCAACAAGTTATGAATATTTTATGCCTTATTAGATGTAAAAGTGAAGAAAAAGAGATCATAGAAACTTTTCTCATTTGTTTTTGACAATGTTTCCATAAACCAGTCTGCATAAATTTGTCTCTGAGACATAATTTAAATGAAAAAGGCATTCGTTAATATCGACGATAGTCTCTATAGCCAAGCTGGTTCTAATTTAAGGTAAATGCTTTGTAGTCGCATGTATGACCTCCTCTTTCTAATTGTCCGGATTGCTTTGATGCCATTTATCAAAATAAATGTAGGGTTCTTAAGACTTTAAACCTCTTTCGACAATTAAATGCAATTTTAATTTTTTTTTTCATTTTCTAAGCATTAGATTGATTTTTGACAAACGTTGTATATCTTTTAATATTATATGTATTTTCGACTAATTGCAAAGGAAACTGAAACGCCTTAGTGGAATCGATATCTAATTGAAATTTATGAGCAAAATCGTTCGCAAATAATTTATGAGTCTTTTGTTCTTCTCGGTTGCTCCACTTTTTATTGAAAACTATCAAGTATATATGTACATATATACGCCATATGAGTGATTTATTCGTGAAGAGGTCTTTTTCTGAAACGTATTATTTTGCCACGATAGACCTTAGCCTGGCTAGGCTTTCTATCTTTGCATGAATTTAATTGCATATATAATTTCTAATTTGGAAGAGTCGCTGCAGCATTTTTACATGGTTGTGAGAAATTTAAGAACGTTCTTATTTACAAAAAATAAATATTAATCATCTCTTGAAGGAGATTCGATTTCAATGAACGAAAAAAATTGGAAATATTCAGACCGACTTATTTAAAACTCCCGCGACGTTTTATGTTAAGCAATATGTTCGATTATGAAGCAGAAAATTTCGGTAAAATAGACTTACAATTAATGACTAGATTTTTTCTATAGATCAAAATACCTACCTAAGATTATGTTGACTTAACATAATAATGTAAATGTATATATATTATGAATTTCAAAAATTCCCTTTTGTTTTGCATATCTATTTACAGTAGCATACATTTTAATATTAGATATTCCCCAAAAAGTTTAAGTTGATTCGACAGAATATTAGAAAACATTTTTTAACTTTGTATAGTCAGATCCCACAACTTTTAAAGGGGTTTTTCGCAAGTACAGAGTTCTTTGAAATTTTCATATGAACTTCTCAGATATAGGTATTTGTCAGGTAATGATGGAAGTATAAATCTTTTCACAAATAACAACAATTTTTGGGAAGCCATTTTGTTAAAAAGCATTCATTTATTTTAAAACACAATTTTTTTTGGTTTTATGTTATGAAAGAAAAATCATCCTCATTGTCAGACATCTTTTTTCAAAAGAAGATACGAAATTAAGGATCCAAAATGAGTCACCGATTATTAAGTACAATAAATTCTGTAAACTTATTTATAAAATAAAATGCTTCATCATGAAATCCAAAAAATTTGCATGTTTTCTAAATTGCAACTAAATATTACCCCTTAAGTAAACATTTAGTTTCGTGGCTCGAAATATTTATGTAGTTGATAATCAATGCTTTATTTGTTTGCTGGAGAAAAAAGAAATGTCTGTTGTAACTTTTTTCCAAACTAATATCAGACCATATATGTAGTCTACCAAAAATTTGTGTTTAACAAAATGAGTGGAATTTCAATCAAGATTTAATTTGGCAAATGTGAAAAATAAAATATATGATTGGATTATCGAAAACGTTATTTTCTCTCAGTGCATACAAAATCCAATATATGGCCACGTATGACCATATTGAATGTCCGAGAGAAAGCTTGTAAATGTTGCCTATTACCATTATGGTAAGCTGTGCCATTGCATTTGCACGATTGTCATTAACATTTTTACATGCAAACAAATTACAAAAAAAAAAAAAAAAGAAAACGAAAGAGGAAACAGAAAGCATATGTGTAACCAGCAGACGTAGGACACAACTAAAAGGAAAGTCGGGGACTAAATGAAGTGAAATACACACACATATACATATGTACTCTGTGAGTAAACGTCAACCTGTTTGTAAGTGCGCCGGTATCTGTGCGTGCGTGTACGAGGTAAATATGGCCACAAATGACAGCAAAAAGGCAGACCAACGGGCAGTGGAAAACAGCATCTATCCGGAAAGGAAGGATACCGAGGAGCAGAAGGAAGTTAAGCCACATATATTGTATAAGTATGTGCGTGTGTGGGGGAAAATGTGAGTTGCTAGTGTTAAGGAGAAAGGTAATGTTTTGCTTGAGAATGATGGAAATGGTAGTGAGGAAAATGAACTGGCGTTAGTCAGCATATTATGGTGAGCCGGAAAGTGTTTGTTCGTCAAGCGTTATTGGGTAAATTGTGCAGGAAACGGGCATATACAAAAATTAGTATATTTATGTACCTACATTAGTATATACATATGTGTGCGTTTGTATGCATTTTTTGTAGCAAATTTACAAAATTGGACGTCTACATGTATTAATATGAAAAGTAAGCATGACAAGTGTAAAGCGAATATACGGTAATAAGAAATAGCGAGCCTATGATGTTTTACAACTAGAAATATTACCTTAAGAGGCACCCTGTGGAGCACTTTTGATTTTGTAGCTCTAAAAAATTGTACGAATACTATTTGTATA